CCTTGTGATCCTCAGGGGAAGAGAAAACACCTATAAAAATAGGCTCTCTGTCAACAGGCAGGGTAAGTGAAATCATGAGCATGAAAGTGCCACATAGTTCCTGAGAATGTAAACTCCTCTCTCCTCCCCGCCCTCTGTGGCCGCTACCAGCGCCTCTGCACCCTGGGGCCGGGGACTAACTCATCTGCCACATTCCGGAGGCCATGCCCCAGCTCTGCGCTACCCAGAAGGAGGACTTTCTTTTTCTTACTAACCCATCAGTCAGCATGCCCAAAATACAAATGCGTGTGTCAGGGACAGACAGGTGGAGGAGGGAACGCCACTGCCCCCTGCCTCCAGGAATCTGCAACTTACCCATTAGAGGAACAGCTGCCTGTAGCAGAGACACAGAAAGTGCCCAGACATCACCAAAATGCATGTCTTCACCCAGTGAATGGGCAGTGGTAGTAACAGCCCTCATAGGCACAGCCCTTTTACAGTTTCTAAAGAGCTGTCACCTGTATGAGACCATAGAACCATCCCATAGCCCATAAGGTAAGTGTTATTCAGCCCATTTTGCAGACCAGTAAAGCAAGGGCTAGAAATGGCAGTGTGGGAGAATGGGACAGGCTGCGGGCCTTGAAGGCTGATGTATTTGTCGGAGATGTTGAAGGGAGCTTCAGCTGAGACCAGGTACTGAAGTGAGCTGTGACGCAGACGGGTCAGTGGGACAGGTGGAAAGCAGGTGGCTGAGAACTTGCTAGATGCCTTTCCTCCTCCCCCACCGGGTTAGGAGTGGGGGTGAGAGTGGGTTTGGGGAGAGAACTTACAGAATCATCTGAGCACTGTATATGGGGGAGTGGATGCATCCTTCTTCATCTTAAGACAAGATAGAGAGGCTGGCTTTAAGGAGACTGCTGGGAGAGATTTCAATGTACAGCCTGCAGAATGGACCTGCCTGATTCCTGAGTTGAGGGAGGAATTTTGTGGGGGCTACACAGGAGAGAGACCTCAAGCGTGGGGGGCCATCTCCATAAAGCCCATGAAATACCCTTGCAGAGAAATCAGCTTGACCTCCAGCCTCAGGGAGGTGATGCTAGCTTCTAACAGTATCAGGCAAGTACGCATTCCTATCCCGTTCCCCTCTTTCCCCATTGTTCCTCCTTGCAGAGGGCAGAAGCCACAGTTAGCTGGCTGGCTGGGGAAGAGGAGGGAAATCCAGTGGGAAAAGGGAGGGGAAGCCCACCAGACACCCTTCTCAACTGCCATGTTCCCGGGGCTGAGAACTGAGGGGCCCCAAATCAAGTCGTGACATACACAAGACTGAACACTTCACTGACTAGATCACAGCTGCTTGTCTTGTCTGAGCACGGTCAGAAAAGCCACTGGACTGCCCCAGTGTCAGACTTCCGTGGTTGCTGTGAGTTTTAAGGGAGTTAACACCCAACCTGTGCCTAGCACAGTGCCTGGTACACAGGAGGCATGCCATGCCTTTTAGCTTCAATTATTGTTAACAGCCTTATGAGGTCGGTACTATTAGTATTCCCATCTTGCAGATGAGGAAACTGAGCTTAGGACATTCAGTGACAGGCTGCCCCAGAGTCCTAGGCTGAGCCGCCCTGAGCAGCCAGGACTCGTTCTGTGAGCATCTCTGTGAGCGTCTCTGTGCATCACCTTTATTCACGAGGAGCCAGAAGCAACTTTGTTCGCAAGCTCCCCACTCACCTGTGCAATGGGGCCTATGGGCTCTGGGCTGGTGGTTCCCTGTCTGTGAGAGGCTGGGCATTCAGAGGGCACCAGGAGCTTTCTAGCCCCTCGTGCCAGGTGGGGGATAAGCTGCATGGGGAGGGCCGCACCCTCCTGTGATGAGCAGCTCTACCTCTTTCCTTTCCCAGGGATCCCAGGTGCCTGTGTGCCAGTTCCCCTGCTATGCCCTGGGGCTGGGCGGCCTGGACTAACGCCCAGCAAGGGCAGAGGGTACTCACCCGGCTGCCACCGCTGCTGTGCCGCTGCCCGCTCCCCGCTGCCTCTGCTCTCCCTCAGCCTACTCTCCTGAGTTCACACATATTCATGTGAAAGCTTTGCTATTCACGTGGGGCTTGGAAATCCACTCTACTTGTGAGCCACTGCCTCTGGGAAGTTCTCAGGTCTCTCCTGGCTCTGAGGCCTCTGTCTGTAAGGCCCAACTGAGGGAACCGAGGAGGCCGCTCATGGAATCATCTGCCATCAGCCCACAAGGGCCCTGGGAGAACATCTGGATCCCTTCCCACAATTTACAGAAGGGGATACTGAGGGCCAGAGAGGCAAGTGGTCCATGTTAGCATCAGAGCTGGGATGGGGAGCCACACTGGCCTTCATCTTTCTGCCGCTGGGTGGGGGAAACTGAGTAATCAAAGGCCACCTGTCTTTCTTCCATTGGACTTGTCCAATGTTAGATGAGGGGCCAGGGAGCCCACAACTTCCCAATGCAGGGGCAGAGTGTGTGAGCATAGGGGCGAGTGTGTGTGAGAGTATGAGCATGCGCACATGTGAGTGAACACATCTGAGCATGTGTGTGTGCATGTGAGTGTGCATGATGTGGGTGCATGTGTGTGGGTGTGTGAATGCGTGATGGTGGGTGTGAATGTGTGCACACACAAGTGTATGTGTGTAAATGTGAATGTATGTGAGGGTGTGAGTGTGAATGTGTGGATGTGTAGGTGTGTGTTAGTGTGTGTGCATGCATGTGCATGCACATGTGTATGTGGGTGTGTGCGTACACATGTGAGAGTGTAAGGTGTGTGCACACATGTAAGTGTGATTGTGATTGTGTGTGCACACATGTGCCTGTGCACCCATATGTGTGAGACAACATATGGGTGAGTGTGCACACATGCACACTGTACATGTGTGCATATGTACACATGTAAGTGTGTGTACACATACATGAGTGTGTGAATGTGTGTGCATATGTGTATACACATTTATGTGTGTGCATACATGAGTGTGTGTGAATGTGTGCACATGTGTGCGTGAAGACGTTAGTGTGAGTATGCACATAGTGTGATATTGGAGTGGTACATGCATGTGGAACAATTTGTTAATCAGTTTCTGGGTTCCAGTTCTCACCAAAATAGCCCCTGATGCTTCCATACAAAGTCAGGGAGATGATACAGGACCTGAGGGCTCATGATGGCCCAGGGAATGGTCTGGATGCCCCTGGCTGGGCCAGCTTTCAGCTGAACCAGTACCACACCTCTTGTAGCTAGAGATGGAGTCTCTTTTCCCAAATCCTTGAAACTGAGCTGCTTTGTGGCTTCCTTTGCCAATAGAACACAGCAGAAGTGGCCATGTGTCAGGTCTGAGCTGCTTCCGTTCTCCCTTGGAGCTCTGCAACCCCCTTGGACCACTCCTGGACCAGCCTTCAGGAGGATGAGACACCTGGAGCACAGCCAAGCTGGCCCAGTGGTCCCTGCTGAGGCCCTACATATGCAGTCAAGGTCAGCAGGGCCACCTAGCTGACCCTCAGTGAACACAAGCATATGGATGAGTCCCGCCAAGCCCAGATCGGATCAGGAAGGCTGCCCAGCCAACAATAGACTCATCAGCAAAAATAAACGCTTCTTGTGGGTTGCCACTGTGTTTTTACAGAACGTTTATGGCAATAGCTAAGTGTAGCAGTCTGTTTCTTTATGGTCATTGCTCACATCAGCAACCCTGTAGGCCCAGACCAAGCAAGGCATGCTGAACTTTACGAACTAGGAACAGCAGGAGAAAATGGAAATATCCAGGCTCTAAGCCCAGCACTAAGCTCTACCCTCTCCTTGCCTGCTGCTGTGCTATCCCAGCTGATGACCTATTTACCTTCCTTGGTATTGGCTGCCCTAGGCTGAATGATTCTTTCCTTGCTTTTCCTTATGAGAATGCTTGATTCCTTCCTGTTATTTCCCAGTTTTTAGAATAATAGGTGTGTTCTAGCAATCTCCAAAGACGATCACAGGTTTTTTTTTTTTTGAACATGATGAGCCATGTATTTCAATCCATTGCAGGGGTTGTTGCTATTATAATTATTGAGATTGCTATTATTCTTGGTGTTCTAATTCCTTCCTTTTTGGCTATGATTTGTCATTATAAGAGTATTATATACGTGGAATCACCAGTGTACAACACTTTGAGACTGGCTTTTTCACTCATGTCTTTGAAATCCAAATCGTTGTGTGTATTGAAGGAAACCAGATTACGTCACCCCCAAATATGACTCTTTGACATAAAAAGTATTTCAAGCTGAAAGCAATTAAGAAAAAGCAAATGCAGTAAAAGTTCCCTCCATCCTCTTCCTTTTCTGCCTAAAGGCAGGATATAAATTCTCCTTTACTGGAGAAGACTCTAGACTCTAATTAGCCCAGAGATGGCTCCAGAGGAAACTGCAAACCTTACTCCATTAGTTTCTTTCCGTATATTTAACTTCCCACAGTTTCCTGCCTTTGGAAGCCTAAAACTGCTTTCCTTTGTCCTGTCATTTCTCTACAAATCCATTGTTCTTTGTGGATTAGAATCTGCTATGAAAGCAGATTCTAAGCCACTGTTTTGAGTTACTTTTCTTCGAGGTTTTTCCCAGGTGATGTGTGCTGCGTGGGTTAATAAACTGCTTTTCTCTTGTTAACCTGTCTTTTTGTTAAAGAGCCTCAGCTGAAAACCTATTATAGCTTGATTTAGAACTGGATTTTCAACAGTGAGCATACATCAGGAATCATGGAACAAAAATGCACCCTGCACTGTGCCAAGGTTAAACGATACCGAGAGCCAAAGGAAAATTATTTATGAACGAAGAAAAAAAGACATCAATAACAAACAGAAGCGAAGATAGGTAGAGGTAAAGTTTTGCCTCCCCCACAATATCAATAGCTCGTTCCTTTTTACTGCTGAGAAGTATTCTATTGTACGGGTGTAGCACAGTTTGCTTTCCATTACTTATCCACTGAAGGATATTTAGATTGTTTCCAGGTTTTGGTTATTACAAATAAAGCTACTATTCACATTTTGTGTCAAAGTAAGTTTTATTTTCTCTGAGATAAATACCCAGGGGTGAGATTGCTGAGTCATATGGTCAGTGTATACTTTGCTTTATAATGATCAGCCAAGTTGTTTTCCAGAGTAGCAATGCCATTGATATTCTAATAACATCTGAGACCTCCAGTTGCTCTGTGTTTTCACCAGCACTTGGTATTATCAGTATTTTTTATTTCAGCCATTCTAATAGGTGTGTAGTGGTGTTTCACTGCACTGGCTAATGACAATGAACATCTTTTCATATGCTTATTTGCAATCCTATAGTCTCTTTGTCAGAGCTTCTGTTCAAGCCTTTTGTCTAATTTGTAATTAGATTGTTTTCATACTGTTGAGTTTAGACAGCTCTTTATATATTGTGGAAATGTGTCCTTTGTCAGATATATGATTTGCAAATATTTTCTCCTAGGCTATGACTTTTTATCTTAGCAAGATCTTTCACAAAGCAACTGTTTTTTTTTTTTTTTTTTTTCTTTTTCTTCATAACATTCTTGGAGTAAAAGCAACTGTTTTTAATTCTAAGTTCAACGTACTGATTTTTCTTTCCCTTTGCTAATTGTATTTTTGGTGTCTTATTTAAAAACTCTTTACCTAACTCTAGGTCACAAAGGTTTTCCTCTACTCCCACACCAGGGAATACTGAACACACTCTACATTGCTCCGCCTTTTCTGTGGGGGAGAACTGTGTCACAGTTAGAGCCGGGGACTGGGCAGAAGTTGGACCTACAAGAATTCCATGGCTGAGGCACTGGTTTAGAACTGGTTTTTTAGCGGTGAGCACACATCAGGAACCATGGAACAAAAATGCACCCTGCACTTCACCAAGGTTAGAAGATACCAAGAACCAAAGGAAAATTATTTATAAATTAAAAAAAAGGCATCAATAACAAAAATGAAGGTTAGGGGTGAAGAGGAGAGGAAATGCTTGTTCATTTCAGTCTGGCAGCAAGGGTAGGGTCATGGGCATGGAAGTTTCAGGGAGGAGGAAAGATACTGCTGCAGTGCATCCTCTTGTCATTAAGACAGGCATCCTATGTCATCTAGCTTTGGGCAAATCAGTTATTTCTTGATATGAGGGTTCAGGGGTACAATGTTGGTGTAGATAGCATTGACAGAATTGGTGGTAGTGTTGGCAGGGCCAGTGGTGGTGTTAACAGGGCCAGTGGTCACATTGACAGGGCTGGTGGTTGCATTGACAGAAACAGTGGTGGCATTGACAGGGCTGGTGGTAGCATTGACAGGAACAGTGGTAGCATTGACAGGGCTGGTGGTAGCATTGACAGGAACAGTGGTAGCATTGACAGGGCTGGTGGTAGCATTGACAGGGCCGGTGGTGGTAGTACTGGATGGGTTGAAACTGAATATGGCTGGAATCCCTGTTGCATTCTGAAAGACAAATGGCATGTGGTCATCACCTTCCTCTGTAGTAAACAGCAAAAAGTGACCAAAAATTCTTCTCCTTCCTCCTTCCATACCCTTAGGTAGACCCTCTCTCCCTGATGCTGGGCTTGGTCATGTGACTTCCTTTGGCCAAGGGGACAACAGTAAATGTGACCGTAAAGTGTTTGCCCATTGGAGATTGCTTTCTCTTGTTGCTCTTTGGAACAGTGAACATAAAGACTGGCCTGACTGCTGGATAATGAAATACAAGTGGCCCAGCTGGCCCTGTTGATTGCCAGCTTGCAAACATCCAGATGCCCATGTGGGACTGCCCAATATCATCCAGCCACTAGGCAACTCACCAACTGACTGCAGACTCATGGCAAGTCCAGCAGGGGTCAGAAGAACTGCCCAGCAGACCCAGGGGATCATGAGCTACATAAGTGGCTGCTGAGTAAGCCATCAAGTTTTAGGGTTGTTTGATACAGGACAAAAGCCAATTGACATGGAAATTGGTAGCTAGAAGTAAGATAACAATCATCCAACACATGCATGGGGTTTGGGACTGGGTGGCAGATGGGGCTGGAGAAGCTGTGAGTAAGCCTCTAGAAAAGGCTGGAAAAATGGTGATCTCACTGCTGGAGGAGGCTGGAAAAGGGGAGAAGAAACTGCCACAGCAGAGTGGAGAAATGATTTCCCATGTTATACAGTGGTGGAGCACTGTTGTATTTTAGAAGACAAAAATACGCATCTAATAGCATTTGGATTTGGCTAAGGAGATCAGGCAGAGTATTGAAAATGTCACTTGGGTGCTCCTGGCTGCATATGATAAAGTGCTGTAAGAAAGTGAGAGGATAAAGAAGGAATGATTTCGTTTGCAAGTGGTATTTAGAGGCAAAGTAGAGGGCCCAGGACTTGATGAGTTAGAAAACAAGATTGTCTCTAACTTCCAAGGTCCTCAAAGGATAAATAACATTCAAAGTAAAACTAGGGCTAAGAACAAAGATCAAAACAAGGATGTGTCTACACAGCCCTTTGTTAAGACCTTTGAAGGCCTAATCAGTGCTTGTTAGATCCTTTCAGATAGACAAAATGCTTCTAAGAACCTTAAAGTATTTGTCTCACAGAAGGCTAATCCCAAAATAGACATTGACAGATTTGGAGAGAAAAGTATGTCTAGAGCAGTCTCATGTGTGGCTCTTATCAGATGGTGAAAGCCATAATCTAATACATAAAACACCCTTGGAGTTTTAAGGGAATTGTATTAGTAACGGGATCACCAACTTGGACCAGATCTGACTGAAATTTCTCAAACTGCAAAAAGACCTTTAGGTCTCACTCTTAATATAGGAATCAGGTTGAAAAAGCAAAATGGAAAATATAGGCCTTTTCTTATGAAAAAAGAAAACATGTTTCTGAGGGTGGAGCCAGGAGTCCAGAGGGTGGGGCCAGGATCCTGGAGAACAATGGATTAGAAAGCTCCTCTCAGGAAGCAGTAGAGAACAGTGGCATGGGCAGAGTCTTCTAGATAGTCAGATTGACTCCTAATCAAGAAACATTCTCTGCCCCCAGGGTAGGACAATACGTGCCCGCATAGGATTTCAGAATTATTATGGAGGAGTGACAATCTTGTGCTTCTGTTCTTTTCCTTATTGAATGGGGAAAGAACAGAATTCTATTTATCCTATTTTTCTCTCACTAAAGTATGTTGGCTATATGGGGGGTGGAACTTGCTTTTAGTTCATAGGTTTCTGAATCAAGAAGAGCAATACCCCCAAATCCTCAGTCACATCTAGATCTGATTTGGATCCTAGTTTTCAAGACTGATGCCATGCCATGATTAGATGGTATGTTTGGGCATCCAAAGTATGGGCTGAGCATGCTTTGCATCCTGAACAACTGTGAGTTAATTGTGGTCAGAGGGAAGCATTGTTGTAGGCTGCAATGCTGGTTACAAATCCTTACATTCATCAGCCTTTGCTGGGTGACCTTGTAGCTCCTCTTATCAAGAGGTAGAGCTGTTGCTCCACTCATGGAATCTGGGTTCAGCGATGTGATTGACTGTGGCCAGTGGGACATTAGCAAATGTGATGCAAGCAGGGACTTAAAGTGGCTGCCTGTGGGGGCTTGCTGTGTCTTGCTACTCTGAGAACCCAGCTCCCCATGAAGAAGCTCATGTGAGCTTACTGGAGGATGAGATAACATGGGGAGCAGAGATGAGCTATTTCACGAAGGACCCTGGAGACCAACGATCCCCAAGCCAAGATTCAAGGGTGAATTCATCTGAGGCCAACAGAAGAGCTACCCACTGACCATAGCTCAAACTGATGATGTGAAGAATGAAGAGCTAAATAATCGGAAGCCACGAAGTTCTGGGGTAGGTTACTATGCAGCAAAACTTAACTGATAGAGCCCCTCTCAGGTCTCATCTCTCCAGATCTCTGGTTACCTCTTGCTACAGCCCACGCCCAATCCCAGAGCATGCTCTGATTATTGGAACAGAGTCCAACACTTACCTCAAATTGTCTGCAGCAGGTGGCCTGGCACCCAAAATATGAGACCACACAAGTGAGGATGAACTCCAGGAGGGCGAAGGGGAGCAGACCACCAAAAATTGTCTTTACATCTACCTAGAGACAGAGAGAAATGGGAGGCTTTTAGTCCTTTGGCTTGACGGTCTAGGTGACAGTCCACATCTGGAGTGCCACACATCTCACCTGGAAGCCCTGAGACCCTCTCTGCACGTGGTTCTTTGGAGCAGATGCTGGGGGCACACATTTTATATGCCCTTGCCTTACCCTTTTAGTCACTGGCCTGACTTCCAACTGCCAGCACCTGTATTCCTTTGCCTCAGGGCTCTCTCTGGCCTCTGGAGCCCATTTTGCTGTTGGCACAGGTTCAAAGTTCCAGGGAATGAGTGCTCCTTGAGAACAGCCCTCTCTCCATGACTGTTAGGGTGTGGTGTATAAATACCCCAGCTCCCTCAGTCCTTAGGTTGGTGTTTGCTTCCTCTCCCAAATAAACTACTTGTCTCAAAGTCTGCTTCTGGGAGGAACCCAAACTGAGACATTTCAACAAGTGCACTGGCTAGGAAACCCTGTGTGAGGTTCTGGGTGCCTCTCCCGGGGCCAGGTGATAGACACCAGCCCGGTCAGGATCATTAGCTCTGCCTGGCTCCTGGGTTTCTCAGCCCTCTTCCAGTATCCCTGCCTCATACTTCCCTTGGCAGGTTGGGATGCGTCCTCGGAGTTTCAAGGGCTTCTGCCAAGACGGAAGTTAAGACAGGATTGAAGGGGCCCCACACAGCTCAGTGTGCTCTGGGCCTGGTCCCTGCCCACAATAAGGTGGGAGAGATCACTGAGCTCCTCTCATCCCTACACACTCTTTCTCTGCAGCAGCAGGTGGGGAGCCTGGGGCTTGGAATGCCTGTTGGACTCCAGTGCCTTCGTGCTACACTATGCTAGTATGCTCTTTGATGACAGAGGCCCTGATTGCCAAATGGCCACCTTTAGGATTTGTAGCTGTTGTGGTCTTGGTTCCGCGTGACCACAATCCACTCCCTGGACATTGTTGGGACATCCTGTTGCATCGTGTTGAACTATAGAGGCCAGCACCTTGCTGCCACATCCCCTAGACACCAAGTTACACCCTGTGCATCAGGGTTCTTCCCGGGGTCTGCAGGGAGCTCTCCCCTTAGGGACTGCCTTCACCTCTGTAGACACGTCTAGTTTAAGACCCTGTGTCCTGCCAGCCTTCCCTTGCCCACTTGGTTAGTCCTGAGAGAGGATCAGATTGCAGCCAGCTGTGGAGCTAGCTACTCTTGATCTTGTTCTTCAGGTCTCCTCCAGTACTGTGTCAATGTTACCGACATCCTTCCCACATTTCCATGCCTGCTGCCTGACTTTCATTTGCGTGGCTTTACCTGAGGGCTTCCTTTGACCACAAGAGACTCCTTTGTCCATGATCATGGCAGACTGGAAGCACTAGGGAATTGATGCCCCTCAGGGGTATTTTTTTGTTTTTTCAAGACAGAGTTTCACTTTTGTTGCTCAGGCTGAAGTGCAGTGGTGTGATCTCAGCTCACTGAAACCACCACTTCTGGGGTTCAAGTGATTCTCCTGCCTCATCCTCTCGAGAAGCTGGGATTGCAGGCACATGTCACCATGCTCAGCTAATTTTTGTATTTTTAGTAGAGATGGGGTTTCACCATGTTGGCCAGGCTGGTCTTGAACTCCTAACCCCAGGCGATCCACCTGCCTTGGCCTCCCAAAATTCTGGGATTACAGGTGTGAGCCGCCGCACCTGGCCAGGGGCAGTTTTTGATCAATAATTGAGGGAAGCTGGTGGATAAATACCCCAGCTCCCTCACTCTAGGACAGGGTACAGCTAAGATGCATGTCATTCTCTGGCTACCAGGTCCCCAGCGGGTTCATCTCCAAAGGCCTTTGCTGGATAACACTTTTATAGTGAGGCTTCCTCCCCTTGCTTGTCTTATTTCTTCCCTCCTCTAGTGAGGTTTCCTAGAATAACCTCTGAAATACACAACTTGCACCTGAATCCTTGTCTTTGCATCTGCATCTGGAGGTCCCTACCGCCCCCCTTCCCCCTCCCCCTGCACCAAAAGACCAGGACTAGCATCAGCACTTCCTGTTTGTGTGAAAGGCTATCCCATAACAGACTCCTAGGGGCAGGTGATCTTGTGAGTCTGAGTGTGGCAGCCATCCAGGCCGCTTACCTGGCCACCTGCTACCTCCAAGCAGAGAACAGGATGAGGAGGGGTCAGCTGGCTGCATCTCTCTGAGTCTCAGCATCCTCACTGTGAAATGAGGTTTATCATGGCCACCTCAGAGGGCACAGGATTTTGTTGAGGGTTAAATAGCTTACAGGCCTGGTGGTTGTCATACTAGGATGGAATTCTGGGGCAATTCCTTTCTGCTCTGGAAGTAACCTTGTAAGCCCTCCTGGCCCTTTGGCAGCATGGGGCCCTGGCAGTCAAATGCTCACCATCTTATAGTCAGTGCACAGATCCACAATGAGAATGAGGATCCCGCCAAGGGACAAGAGTGCGCAGATGACGTTCAGGACGACGCTGGTGCTCACCTGTGGGAGAGGAGGGAGAGGAGAGGGAGCCGAGTGCGAAGAGTCTGAAGCCCAGCTTGTGGGGACTCTTGGGAATTCAGAGAAGAGAGAAGGCAGGGCAGAAAAGAGATGGCCAGGCAGGGTGGAGAAGCCAGTTTATTTCAGCGATAGTGAGGTGAGAAATCATTTTAAATTCATGCTTGTTAAAGTCCAGGTTTGTTCATTTAAGTTCAGGTTTGTTACATGGGTAAACTTGCAGCATGGGGGTTTGTTGTAGAGATTATTTCATCACCCAGGTATTAAGCCTAGTACCTGTTATTGTTTTACCTGATCCTCTCCTTCCTCCAAACCTCCACCCAAAATCATTCCTTAATCAATGTGCAGCATCCTTCTATGGCAGAGACTGGATTTGTTTGGGAAGATTTCTTGCTAAGCAGCAGAGGGTAGGAAATGAGATTCGGAAAGAGATAAGGCAAAGATGCAGGACTGCTCTGCAGAGAAAATGAACAGAGATCCCAAGCTTGAATTGAGGGAAGGGAGTCGGGGAGACTTGGTTTCCATGGTGGAAGGCTGGGGCCCGCTGGTAGGATTGGCTGGGGAAGGTTTTCAGAACCTGAAAGTCTCATATTCAATTTTGAGGGATCTGCTGCTCAGTGTTGAGAGGGTGAAATCATCAAATTATTCATTATCCATCCCCCACTCAAGCTGCTTCCCGTTAAGAGGGTTATGGGGATGAAGACAGAGAAAGACAAAAGAGAAAGGGACCATGTTCCACATTTGGGCAGGGGCCAGGACAGCTGTAAGATGTACAGAAGTACAAACGGATGTTTCTATATTTCAATAGAAAGTCACACGTCAGAGCAAGAGAGGACTAGGAGACCTCCAGGCGTTGGCAGACACCTTGGAGAGGGCAGTGGACTTCCCAGAGGATTTGAAACTTCCTGGTCCTGTTGGGATATGAAGGGGCGGTGTGAGCTTGATTGATGCTGGGGTGTTTGGAGGACTCTGCTCCTCCTAAAAGGGGTGAAGCAAGGCAGACTATGGGGCCACTGGAGTTTGCCTTGTAGACTGGAGACTGGTAATTGGGAAACCCTCTGTTAGACACCCAGCCCCTAGCTGACCTGCTGCTTTCCCATCAAAAGGCAGAAGAAAGATGACAAGCCACGTAGAGAAAGTGGAGAGGGGGAAGGAGTACCTGAAAAGGAAGGAGATGAGAGAAGGGCCACTGTGGAGCTCTAAACTTATCCCTAAGCTTCTTAGAGGCCACAGCAAAAATCAAAACATGACCAGATACTTTGCTGGATACTGAGCAGAGAATAATGCCCCAAGGGCGCAAGGGAATTCTGGGCCCTGTGCTCTTGGTTGAGACTTTAAATTGTTCAAGGCAGACATTGCTCTCACTCTTCTAGATCCACACAAAGAGGATGGCGGAAAATATCTTAAAGAGATGGTTGAAATGCACACACATATTCGTTTGGCCCGGACCTGGCTTTCTGTTTTTTTCGGAGCATCCATGAGGCACTGCATGTAAATACTCATGAGTTTTCCAAAGAGGTAAGTTTTTGAATAGTAAATGCCATAGGTAAAGAGGAACAGCTTTGGAATCAGAGAGCTCTGGGGTCAAATCCTGGCTCTGCCATGCACTCACTGTACGATCCTAGGCAAACCACCTGACCTCTCTGTTTCCCAATTTTCTCCTCTGAAAAATGGGGATAATAGGACCTCATAGAGTGGTGGGGATTGACTGGAAAAAGGTATCGAAATGCATTGTACCCAGGCCCAGGCCCAGGGCACACCACTACTGTGAGTCCCCTTTCTTCATGTTTGGTAGAGAGTCAAATTCTAACATTCAGGGATCATCAAAGATAGCACTATGACTCACCACACAAGGGCTGGGGTCCTTTGAAGCCCATACTGAGAGGGATCCAGATGTAATGTACTATGACAACAATAACAACAACAAAAAAGAAAAAAGAGAAAAAGAATGACCAATTGTGCAGCATGTTAAAAAAGACAGCTGTCCATTCAGAGATGCATTTCTCAATCTCAATGTTCTGTTCACCTCGTTTCACAAAATGTGCAAATCTGTTTATTTCCTCTTAACATTTTTACTATTCCAATGGTTAGGCACCAAATATACTAAATACCATAATATTCAAACTCCTGTGGGTCTATAGTAACACTTCCCTTTCTCCTAAAAACCTGAATTTTGTCCCAGGATGCTGTAAATCTCATTATTATTATTTTTTGACTGATTCTTCTTGAGTTCTCTGCCTGGACATATCATCGCCCAAATGCATTTATTGCTTATTTGGCCTCACACTGCCCAATCCTTGACTGTGATCTTGGAAAAGCAGGGGCTGAGTAGTGTGGTGGGTAGAGCCTTGGGGCTGGGAGATAGGAGACCTGGGCTATGGCCTCATCTGCTGTGATCCTGGACCCAGCTGGAGGGTCCTCTTTAGCACTTGATGCTGCCAGGCAGGTGATAGAAACGTGAAAGTCAAAAGCAGTAAGAGCTCTGTTCAGTTATGAGAGCCCTGAACTGAGGGGGCCTGAGCTCAGGACCTTCTTCTAGCACTTTCTGGCTATGAGGATGATAAATGCTAGAGGAAGATTTTGAGCTTCAGTCTCCTCATCTGGCAAATGCACATAGATAATGATGCCTGCCCTCTCTATCTACAAGTGGGTCATGCAGTTCAAGTGAGAGAACAAGGGTGGGATTATTGATGGGGAGAATAGGGGCACTCAGCGGTTTTGCTAGTGTTTTCTGTGCCCATGAAACATTAACTCCCCATTACCCCCTTACCCTGGCCCCTGCCAACCACCATGCTGCTTTCTGTCTTTGTGAATTTCACTACCCTAGAGACCTCATCTGAGTGGAATCATACACGTGAGTGTTCAACTTATTATTATTATTTAAGCTCTGCAAGATGATATACACTTAATGGCATGCTGGTAAATGATTAACATCTGCCTTATGAGGTGGCAGCAGTGCAGGGAAGGGCCCTGATTTGGAGCATGTGTTGATTTCTGTGTCATGTGTATACCCAACATGGGTAACTTCCTGCTACCAAATGGTTTGACAATCATTTTACATAATTCCTGGACATTTTACAATCGACTCTTATGACTGGTGGGTAGGAAGATGCTGTCTATAGCACACAACTTTACATACTCTGAGTTACCTATGAGATATTTTTTTTTTT